GAAACCCAAAGCTTCACCGATTGTCAGTTTTGTCAGAGGCTTCCGTGTCATGCGCGCGGTAGCGGGCGGAGCTAAACTGGTTTGAAAAAACGCTGGTGGGTATAACGGTAGAGCTTCCCGTTCAAGCTATCCCGACCTTTGCAATCTTGATAAAAAAAATCAGTTAGACGGAAGTTAGGCTGTTGTCCGTAGGTTTTATCTAGTAGTACTAATTGGAAGAGTTCGACGAATAATCGCAGCTCGACTGACTGTTTTTTGAAGTGTACTGTTATACGGCATTGGATGACAGCGTTGTTGCTTCCCTCTAATGGTATGAGATGATTCCATGAAGTGTTAGGAAAACGTCTGTAACTGTCGCTATGCTTTTAAATGCGCTGACGACAGTTCCAAAAAACTTTTTTAAGGTGGATTACAGTCACGTTCCGTTTACACGTTCGATCTCCAAGCACATGCGTGAATGAGGTGAGCGCAACGAATTCGAATTTCGCTTGCATTTTTGTACATCTTTGATTCCCTCATTTGTTTTCATGCTGCGGCTGCAGTCTATTTGAGAAGGAATATTCAATCAGGGCCAACCCGAGGTTGGTACAGGACGAGGGAGGTCGTATTTGCGATTTTGGGAGAAGGTCGTAATTGTGGACGTTGTGAGGGGTCGTGGTTGCGGGAGAGGTAGTTAGACGGGAAATTCCAGAAAATAAGTCACATAGTCACTTTTTATTAGCTCCCCCCCCCCCATTGATGCGATTTAGAGGAATAACGTGGTTGTGAACATTGGTGAAAAGTCGCATTTCCCACAATACGAACCCTAATGGCACTTCCACGGGGTGAGGATCGCATTGAGGACCTCTCTGGCCATAAGGCCGACTATGGTGAAGGGAGATCGTATCGAAACTCCCTAATAAGTGGGTGAGGATATATCCGCCGTAAACGGAGGCGCGTCCACTGAGGAAGTGGATACGAGACGCGTTTCATTACTGTGAAGGATACGCCCGTAGCAGCCTCACACGGCCTCACCCGCGGCAGCGATTTCCGTTCGTGGCTCTCTATGCCACCGATTGGATACCTCAACTACTCGTCGCTCGCCGTTGCCCTGGCTGGTCAGAATAAAACAGAGCACTCACGTTTTTCAAGGTAAGAACCGATGAGCACCTCGAACGCGAATCCGACTGTAAAACGGCACGGGCTTCTACGGATTTCAGGCGACATCCTAGACTCATACTCACCGCTGCAGCTTATAACAGCTCTATCCATTCCCTGCAGGCACTTCAACAGTCGCCTTTGAGGAAGCTTTTTTTTTTCAGTCAATAACATATAATTAGCTTCTCCAAATTTTTGAATACGAACTTTTTTTAGATCTCGCACCGATATCATCGATGTCGCTCTTTAGACAGCCAACACACAGTTTCGCATACAGTCCAAGCGCGAAGCATTTCGAGAAATGGTAGAGCTTACGGAGATTGTCTACAAGGTAGTGGTTCTAACTGTTATACATATACACAACGTTCCGTCACAGCTAAGAAACATAAATACAGATTTATGAGCGATTTCTTTCGGTTATGAGGGCGGACGTGCTCGCTGCTTCCTTCATTACGCATCCTTTGGTACATCACCCAAGTGAATGAGCCCAGCAACAACCCAATCGTTTGGCAGGACGCTTCACAGTGACTGCCTACATCCCGAAAGATTCGTACGCTGATCCGCTCGCTGCATGGCCTCCGTGAAGTGGTACAGTGTTTCCTGAGACTTTGAATTCAGTTGTGAATCAAAATCTATCCACAACGTGCAGTGATGGCAGAGGCCAGCAGCGGTTGCAGTCGATGTTAAGGAGAAAGGAAGGCATTGCGGTCTGTGCTGCCTCTTGCCTCATCACTGCCAGCGACCCGAAGTAGCGCTGAATTCTTCCTCCGGATTTCTGCAAAGCTTGAGGCTAGGCAATTGAACTTTATGTAGTGATCCCTTTGGGCCCCTAACAAATGTGCACTATTTCAAGACCCCTGCTTTCTTGAAGCATAAAAAAGGATAAAGCATCTTGCCGTTGATCAGTCCCTTTTTGGGATGCGGCACGCATTCTACTTCCATTTGTACATTCGCAGTGGCGTTTGAATGCGATGTGGCCTATACAATGACTTGCGGGGGCCAGCCGTGTCCAATTAAGAAAGAAAAAACCTTTTAAACAAAATAATTAAAATGGTTCGTTTCGCTCCTTCCTCAGACGAACCTTATTATTTCGTCAATCCCCGGAGCTCATCAGTGAGTTGGGATTGGCGAAATAAAGACACAGGGGAAAGACGAATAAACCTTGAGCTGACGTACTTTGTCATGCAGAGGAGCATGCAATGAAATTAAATTGTATCCTTCTATTTTATAAAGCGCTAACTTTGTGTGTCGGTTTGTGTGTCTGTATGTGTGTGTGTATGTATGTATGTGTGTCCGTCCGCAAAATGAAGTGAGTGAGAAGGAAGCTCATGGGATAAACAAACCGCTAACAAATCGGGTAGCTTACAGGATTTGAGATATCAATGTTTTGTAGCAGGATAGTTGTGATAACACTCTTAGGGCTATATAAACACCTGCTTAGCACACTTCCGTTCATTCCACATGGTGCTGCAGTGGCAGCTGGAGGGCAGTGGAGAGAGGAAGGGAGGATGAGGAAGGGAAGCGAAAAATCTACCGTCATATCATGATTGTGTCCCTTCTACTGTATGAAACACCATTGTGTTGCATACGCGTCACTTCCAGGAGGTGTTGGTGTCACAGGAGGAAGGGGTCAGTAAAAATGGTACGATTCACACCTAATTAAGAATACTCCGCGGATAACTGCGAAGTGACCTCATTAAGGGAGACGGCCTAGGGGTCACAACACCACCCAAACATGTGTACTAGACACGTAGAAATGGCAGTCAAATTGGAAAACCATACAACAAAAACAACATGAATAAAGAATATGTATTCAAAAGGGAAAATACTGCCAATCTAAAATATAAAAAACAAAATTGACTCGTTATCACCAGCCAACTATCACTCACACTAAATTAACTAGAAGTCATAAGGTAAAGATACCAGCAGTCTGCGTTGATCATCCCTTTTTGGAAGCGGCACGCATTTTTATTAGTCGTCAAAAAGTTCCCGCTTCACACCCTCACACCCTATTTTTATTAATATTTCAAAGGGTTCAAATTTTTACAAAAGAGGGATTCATCTGCTTGGAACGTTGGCAAAAGTGTGTTGAATCTAATGGTTCTTATTTCGAATAAAACGGTTGTATTTGAAGAAAGTTATGAAGTTTGAAAGTTATGCGTTCAAAACGGCGAGTACTTTTTGACCGACCTTCTACTTCCATTTGTACATTCGCAGTGGCATTTGAATGCGATGTGGCCTATACAATGACTTGCGGGGGCCAGCCGATGTACAAGTCAGTGTTTTTTATCCTCCCAGACAAGTCTGGTACCAATTAACCGACCCCGGAGGGATGGAAGGCTTGGTTGGCCCGGGCGACTCACGACCCAGGATTTGATCCCCGGACCGCTCGCGTGGTGAGCGCCACTTGCTACACCACTTTCCGCTGAAAGCTTAAGCAAGGTATTAGAAGCTACAAAACTACACCTGAACACTTTACTGTGAAACTAAGCGAACAGGAGTGGATGGAATCAAGGAGATCCGCATGCTTTCGATGAAAACCTCACGTCTCTAGCCAAACGTTACTGTCCTCCCTCAAGCAAGTCAGTTAGAGATATGCCCTTCATGTGCCTCCTCTATGACTTTTCAGGACCTCAGGCTACCCCCCCCATACCACTTCGCAGGACCCCTGGTAAAAAGAAACACCTTGAGGAGGGGTTATGGTAGGTATTGAAGCTAACATAGATGACTATATTTTGCAGTATTCAACGAACTCTACCAGGAAGGAGCATCTCGCTCTGAAATTGAAGCATTTTTTATGAATTCGTGTAATAAATCAGTATTTTTCAACTATTATTATGAATGATTTGTTTCCTCAATTAATTGCGTTTTACCTGATTAACAGAGAGGTGTGGGTGGTGTTGTGACCCTTAAGCCGTCAGCCTTAATGAGGTCACTTCGCACATAGGGTGCGAAAATTTGGCTCGTACCATTGTTTACCCACCCAGGAGGAAGGGACATAGCGGAGGATAGAAAGCTTGCGCAGGAAAGGAAGGTCCCGGCCGGGGGACTAATCTGGTATTGAATAAAGTGAATATTGATTGATAACAATGTGCAAGCAAAAACCTTTACGAAATTAAAAAGATGAAAAAGTTTTATAGCTGTCCACTGATAGGTAATAACTCATTGATTTGGTATTGATTTAAGTCAGTGTTTTTACCCTCCCAAACAAGTCTGTCCACTACACCACTTCCGCTCTGCTTTCTTAATTCCCTTAAAGGCTTAATCCTACTATTAGTGCTACACAGAGGGTATGCTTTGCGTCTGCACTCTCATCGCCCTTATTGACGGAAAAATTGTAACTGCTGAGTTCCCGTGCAAATCCACCGTGCGCATGCCCGAGGTTGAACATTTCTATGAGTTTAGCAAAAAACTTGTTCATTCCTTATAGTGCATACTATTTGCGCTTGAGATCTCAGTGATCAGTTAAAGCACGACAGCACTTGGCGTTGATCGATCTGTTCTATGGAATGCGCTGAGCATTCTACAACCTTGGCACATTTGAATGTCATGAGGCCAACGGATTAACCGACGCGAGGATGGATATAGATTTTTGTGCTAGCGGATTTTATCGCAGATTTGTACCCGGATCGTGCTATGCCGCTTCACTACTACCCCTCCTTCCACTCTGTAATCCAATTATTATATTTCTGCAGAAACTCCAAGTATATATGATACTGATCAGTTTCGATAACGATTCATTTCAATTTCTATTTCTTTTTTCATCTCGAGCGCTCATACGATCCCAGACATGAAGGTGATGGCTGTGCTTCAGAGTTACGAAACGCTGCCACCTCTCAACCGCGAATGCTGGCCTCTCTACAATGTTCTCCTTTCTCAAGATTATTGTCAACGACGACGATAAAACTGTAGTGTCTGAGAATTTCATGAACAAAATGAAGGAACTTACGAAATCTGAGGTGAACTCTTTCATGGCATCCTGTCAGCTCAGCTTGAACTCACAATCAGGGTTTGATCGCTGACGGTAAATCAGCACAGCGGTGTGCACAGATCGACTGGTACGTGTCTAGGTAGTTTTGGCGTGCACACCTCAGCGAAGTGGACGATTTCTCCGTTCTCTCAGTGGGGGAGCGATCAGTGGACCACGGTCAACACATGGCCTTACAACAATATATTCTGCAGCTGGCCTTAAAGCTCGGTGGTGCGGCAAGGTGAGTTGAAGAGCTTCTAGCTGTCTTATTAATTCTAGCCAAGTTGAGTGCACCTCAAAATACTGATGAAGAGTAGTCAACTGAAGATGCCTTACAAAAGGTCTGGCAGGCCGTGCAGCTCGTCGCTTCTCGATTAATTGCTCTGACTGCAGTTGAGATTGAGATAGTGAGTGAAAGTGAAACGTGAACTTTGCTCGAGGCCTTCGGCCGCAGCGGATTTCGAGGCATTTACGCTCACGGTGAAGGTTTGGTTTGAGAGAAGCGATACGCTTTCAAATACAGGTTAACCCCAACAGTCCACGGTGTATAAGAATAGTATTGTAGGCAAGCTCAGCGGGTCCCTCAGCATTCGCTTCGACGTACTCCATACGCCAGAAGCATCCATTCATTCAGTTGGAGACAGAGGCAAAGCATGTTGCAATGCACAACTGCGAGGTTAGTCTTACGAAAGTGTGATAGAATACGAAATGCCCCTTGTTAGTAGTAAGGGTAAAATCTTATCAAATGAGCAAGTTTCTGACTAAAGAATATATTTAGATTTGGGAAATACCATTGGAAGCTGAAAGAACACGGTTCAACCTATGCTTGATTCGCCCTCGTTTTATTGGAGAAATAGTGAAATTGAAATTTCGGATATTAGGAGAGGATCTGAAAGACATATTGGACGGATTGCTCAAGGCAAAGGTCCTCTCTCTTTTCAAATTGAATTTTCTCATGGGAAACTTTAGACGAAATTTGCTTAAAGCGAGAGATTACGATAAAGTGTGTGTGTAGTGTGGAAGTACATGCACCATTGGAAGCAGTAGTCAGGGGCCCAAGGAAACGAAATGTTGCGTTTTTGTGGTCAAAGGTGCGCTAGTTGCAGCGTACAAGGCTTGCCATTCCTTTCTGAGCCCCGCCACGGTCTGTGCTCCGCCCCCAGCAGCAGCGCCCTTCGATTGCCAATGTGACGAGATATTCCACTTCCAGAGTGTATCCTATAACTTTTCATGGGATGCGTGATCAATCAAAGCATGATGCTTGCTGAAATGATAGAGGCTATCAGCATAACATGTGCAAACGACCTCCTAATTGGTTGCTAGCTCGTCCATTATCGGAGGTCAACGGGCAAAGAAAGGGGTCCCATTTTGCGCCTTCTTGACGGATTTCTTTGCTTTTTTCGCCACTGGGGCATTATTCAGCATCTCCACTTCCACTATGAACCCAGTCCAAACTTATCGTAATCCCTCGCTTTAATCCTAGGGTTATTTGCTAAAACCACAGCATTCGCTTAGAATCAATGCTGTTCCATGATTCGCATATGAATCATCCTGTTGTTACGGTATCAAAGCACTAGCGCCTGGTTGTGTAATAAACAATTTGAAGCTTACAAAGAAAACACCGTAAAAAGTTGCGACGAATTTCTAAAATAAAGGGCCTTTTTGGCGTTCAGTGCTCTGCGCCTTCGTTAAACATGAGATATTCTTAGACTCAAAACTGACATAAATTTTATTCAGAGCGAGAAGCACAGAATTTTACTGCCAATGTTTTCGCTCAGTGGTGAAGAGAATATGTGCAACGTTTGGATGAAAAACGGTATCACACAACTACTTTCGATCACCTCCAATGGGTGTGGTTCAGCACATATAGTGCTTTCTCTCGAGACGGTGTTTCCACATGTTGCCAAGCAATGATAAAGCACAGAGTTCGAAGCAGAGGTTTTCGGCTAACGAGAAAGGGTGCCATGGCCATTCAAGAGGAGATGTATACCACTGGATGTGCCTTTAAACGCTGATCTCAAATCTACTTTCCAAATCTGCTAAACTATTCTCTGAATGGATCTATAAAGCAAAACAGCGCAACGCTAGTGCGGAACTCATAGTCATAACGTCGTAGGATCGGTCCATAATCGTGTTTGAAGTTTTTCATTCTTCAGGGATACAGCTTTCAGGCCTTTAATAGCCTGTTCAGCCGAATTTCTGAAGAACGCAAAGCAGTAGGCATGATGGGCTGATCCTACAACATTTTGACCATGAGTCCAGACCACTACCGTTACTGTTTTGCTTCATAACTCATTCAGAGAATCGTTTAGCAGATTTGGAAGGTAGATTTGAGATCAGCGTTCAAAGGCACATCTAGTGGTATACATCTCTTCTTGAATGGCCATGACGACCTGGGAGCCTTTCCTTGTAAGTTCCGAGAATGCCAAAAACATGGGGATTGAAATAACCTCAAGAGCTTGATTATCAGTGGTAATTATATTTCCTATTCCTTGGAACCCTGTTCACTTGCGCTTACACTTGAAAGCCATCTAATATCTTATCTTCTAATATAATAATATGCTGATATGGTTATCGCAAAAGTAAAAGGATTACAAGGGGATCCACGTGGGGAGAATAACTCAAAAATGGGCGTGCGTGGGAGCAAGAGTCTAATTGCGCAGTGCCAAGGGCAGAAGTTTCTGATTCAGGTCCAGAAAAGCCTAGCCGAATGGACAAAGGTATGCACCAATTCGCCAGGTCAGGCCCACCCGTTGCGGACTAACACGTACAAACGAACTCGTCATGATCGCCGGCTTGTCCGAAACGGGAACCAGGGGCAAAAGGAGGTCCCATTTGGCGGGTTTCACGTCATTTTCTTCAGAATTTCCTCTCTCCACTACACTTGGCTGTCTCCGCTTTCATTTCCAAAAGGCACCCATCTTATCGTAAAACGAGCTTTCAAATTGACCTTGATTGTATTGTCTGCAGTAACTTCTGAGGGAGGATTCAACGATAAATGCGAAAGTGGAAGAAGGGGATTTTGGGAAAGAGAGACATACAGACCCTCTTACAATGCGGACCGAGGTGCAATTCGCAGCGATGGGCACGCCCGACGACCTAGCATACCCGCGGTGTTGTCGACGCGGTACGCCCACCAACAATAAGCGACTAACCACTTGCCGCTGGTCAGCCGTTTAGCAGAGAGAGCGTTAGCGTTGAAGAGGGCAGCACCGATGAGAGTCGCATCAATGCGGAAATCAACGGCAAGGAAGGGTCCCATTCTTGGGTTCTGGGCCGTTTTCATAGTTTTTTTTTTTCATCCTGGCACCACTGAACACCTCTGCCTCAATTCTAATAGACTGCCTTCTGATCGTAAACTCCACCTTCAAGCTACAACCGATGCTATGGAGACAACCGGCGCTATCCCGCCGCTTGAAGCGATATGGAATGTAGCCAGAATATCGGTCAGTGTAGATGGAATCGGAACAAAAAATCTCAAGTTAGAGGTAAACTAAATAAAAATCTTCTGCACATTCACCACTCATTACCGCTTTTCAGCCTTGTCCACGACTATCGTCGTCTTACCGTCGCAGTTGTGGACTGGATGATCTGTCTCACCCTCACACTGCGTTCACGGCTTCCATCGATTCGGCGTTTCTTTTCGTAGTGACCGTTAGAGGAGTCCTACCACTCCTCTCAGGTTGCTACGCCGGTTATCCTGCACCGATGAACTCTGCCTACACGATTCTCGCTCCAGAGAAGTAAGTGGACATCATTTCCCGGTGACGTACAATGTTTGCCTGCACAATCCAGTGGGATCTGTTTTGATAGTAGAGAATGACAAATTCAAATGCATCCGAAGACGGGCCAAATAAAGGCGAAGGAAAAAGCTATACAGATAAAAAATGTAGGCAAAACTTTGAAACCACCATCTCCGCCAGGCTAGTCTGGCATCGCTTTTTAATGGTGTACCCTCTATTTCGCAAACTGAAAAGAGCGTCGAGTGCAGACTACACACCACAAGCTACGACGCCAAGAAAAAAAAGAAAAGAACCACATTTCTCTTGGCCGTCGTCACTTGTGGTGTGTGGTCTGCACTCGACGCTCTTCTTGTTTCGGAATAGAGATCAGAAATGGAGGTGGTTATTATGTACTGTCTCATCTTATCACCACTGTCGTTTCAACAGCATGAAACGTTCATTTCAAATGATCCCAAAAAGCTGGCCGTGTCGTACTCCGCGTCATTATTTCGAATGCATATACGAAAAGGTGTGCCAGAATACTTCTTTTCAGTTTTCAGAATCAGGAAGAAGCCTCCGCCCCCCGTCGTGGCCAAACGAAAACCGAAACTGTCGAAGAAACAAAAGAAGGGCCTGAAAGTGCGCCGTAAGCGGGCCGAAAGGATGAAAAGGCAAGCGGACAAGATTTATAAGGAGGCACAGAAACACAAAAAGAAGTTGATGAAGAAGGCGGTGGGTACACGCCTATCATCAAATATGCGTCTTTTCATAATTTCGTAGTTATTCGGAAAGTAATGCAGTTTTCAACACATATCTTCAAAGCGGCACGTCCTAGCTCGAAGTGTCCCTGACTGATTAGTATGAAAACTGCTAGGTGGTAGTTCGCCTCAGAAAAGTCAACACAAAGCTGCTGAACTATAGACAAAAAGTTTCGCCTCAAAATGGAAAACCCGTACCTTCACCGGCAGTTGTGCTGATGATAACACTGTTAAGCCATGGGTCGGGATTAGATGCCAATAGCCAGTTCCTTCTAGCAGGTCCCCAATGGCAGGAGGTGAGACACTGTCGCGACTCAAAAGTGCGAGGCAATGGCGCTAAGGCCTTGCCTTGTGTGCTGCCGTGCTGCCATCCTTATCAATCGCGGCATACGTGGCGTTTGCGCCCTCTCGCGTACGACGTACTCTCTCGCGTTTTCCCTCTCCTCGCAGCGCTGTGTCTCTCCGTCATACCACACCGACCTCACAAGGAAATTTCAGTGTTTCTATGGCGCTTTTTGCTTTTCTCCACAAGGACGTTCCCCATTGCACTTTTTGACTGATTTTCGAACTAAATGGCACACCTATTTGATCGCGATCTGTACCTTTAAATTTGGACGTATTCTCAAAAAGTTATGAATCAATCTTTCACCTGCACAAAACTCTGAACTTCTATGGGCGACAAAATTGCTGATAGTTATTGTCTACTCGCGTTGATTTCTGAAGCATATCCTATCGAAGCAGCTACTGAGATCATTGCAAGAGTGGAATCAGGTGACGAAGAGATCTGTTGATTGCGGTGTGTGAGCTGATTTGCGGCATGGTTCTCTTATTCTTGTGACATCATTCGTGAGGAAATTGGTGGCGTATTTTTATATCGAACATGATCCCTCCTTCTGCTTACCGCAGACAGTGCCCTTGTGCTGGTGGACGTGGTCAAGTGCCGGACAGAAATGGTGTTGCAAAAGCTTCATCCAGTGTCAAAAAGTCTATGAACAACCATCTAACGGGAACATGCAGCTTTGCAAAAATTCGTTGAAATATGTAAAATTCGAACAAGGAGATGGCCGCTGATTGTCGCAAATAATCCGTATCCATCGTACGAGTCAAGACAATTTAGTTCTGAAATTTCAATCCAGAAGTTGATCAATTGAAAAGCAATATCGAAGCCTGAGTCACACCGGGAAATAGCGCGTACCTTGCTAGAGATCGAATGTTTGACCAAAATCAGTGCAGTGAGGTCACAATACAAAACCCTCAGTAATTTCCGAATAAGTTAATATCTTTCATATAATTTCGGTGTGGAGGCAAAGTGCCTACGATGACCAACAGGAACATCAAACTCTGAGGCACATCCGACCCAAGCAAGGGTTTTTCATGGCAGCAGACTGTTTTAAAAAAATGACAACAAAGCCATTGTAGAACCCACATCCATTCAAATATCGCTACGGTAATTACTGAAGAAAGTGTGGTGCGCTCCAAGAGTCAAGAGACTTTTCAAGACAAAGATCGGGCTCTACTGGGTGTATTATGGTATTTGAAACTGACGATGAGCGACAGTGAAGAGAAAACGGAAAGAAAGCATTGATCAGGCCGAAAATATTATGGAACCATCTCCTCTCTACCCACAGCGAAGAGGGTGGGAGCAGAAGGATTTGTCCGGTCAAGTTTTCGAGTTTGCCGGTCATGCTGGTTCCGTGACAGCAGTTGATACGGCAATCAACCCAGCTGATTTCACGCCTATGCCAGCCACGCACCAATTCCCGCGGTGGGCGGTCATAGCTAACGCCAGGCGGCGACAACAAACCATACTTCTCCGAAGGTCTTACTACTACGCTTTTTCGAATTACGAGCGTTGGGTCATTTCTGTGGGCACATGAGCACGCCCTAACTGATGGAAGGGATTGGTTTGGTAGCTTAATGCCGACCTTGGACTTTGGATATAACTTTTGGTTCTTTATTTTTTCTTGAAGTCAACCGAGAAAAACTTGGCAGTAAACTATGAGGTGCAACAGATATTTCGATATTTTTCGGCAGCGGGATGTGTAGTGAAAAACGCTCTTTTTCAGCGTTCAACTACCAAGCAGTCTTAATGTCGTAAACAACATCATGCAATATCTCAATCCTTTGTGATAAAAATAAT